CATCCATCCATCTATCATCTATCCATCTATCTATCCATCCATCCATCCATCCATCTAAAATTGTAAATTGTAGTTGGTTTGTGATTCCAAATCCATTACATTACACACTACTTTTAGATTACTTTTGGCCTAACTGGTTTGTCACATTGATTTAAATAGGATAATCTTGTACCATGCTAATAGAAAAATATATATATTCCATTCATTGTTATTAACAAAATGAATGCATTTAACATTTCGTCAAAGTTTCCTAAACTGGGACTCGTGAAGGAACTGCAGGGAGTTCATGAGTTTACTGAAAATCTAATAATTTATGACGTAAAACACTTACTAAAACTGAACTAAACTGAACTAAAACACTTACTAAAAAAGGTGAAATATGATGTTGGTTTACCTTTATGTCATGTGACCATTAACCAATGACAGAGAACTGTGAACATGCAAATGTGTTACATAATTATGACCTTATTACCGTAAAATCTCAGTGGTGCTGATGAAGAAGGTAGGGAATCCCTGCATTACATGTAAATAAGAAATAACATGAATGTGTGTATTTTAATGTGTTTGAAAGACAAAAGCCTTCTAAAGACATATACATGGTTAAATAAACCCTCTGTTCTGAGGAAACGAAAACCATATGCACAGAAAAGCAGTCTTTGGATAGTTCCTCCATCTACATTCTCTGTATAATCAGTTGATTTTATGGTTGTATAAATCTTTGTCTGTTCCATGCAGTCATAAACCATTTAAAAATACAGTACTCACAGAAATAGACAGCTATCTAGATGTATTGTATCTAAAGGCCATAAATAGAGAATGTATTGCCTAATATTTTAGATACTGTGCCAGATTGTCACTTAGCGTCAATATTTGCAAAGCACAACTGATAGTCATTAGTGCCTCCATAATGGTTAAACAGTTTAAATGAATGAATCTATAGCTAGAACTTGACTCAGACTTCTCTTAAAAGGCAATAAAACGGATGCATATCTTAGATTTACATTTAGCTAAGAATAACTGAGACAGACAAATAAGAAAAGACAAAGGTATCGGAACTTGTTAGATTTCAGTCTAATGTTTCTTTCTCCTTTGTTCAGTATCTTTCTAAGCAGGTGGATATGCTGAGGTCGGCGAACGATCAGCAGGCTAAACTCTACGAGCAGCTGGATTCCACCGCACAAGACCTGGAGCTGAAAAACCAACGACTGGTGCTGGAGAACAGAGCGGCTCAGATGAAGATCGAAGGGTAAGACTTTAGAAACGATGGTAAATGAATGCATGAAGCCAAGGAGAAAATGCTTTAAATGGCGTATTTCCTGACGGCAGGCTCACAGAGACGGCAGAAGGGCTGCAGACTCAGGTGGAGGAGCTCCAGAGAGACATGCAGAAGCTGAAGCTGGATTCTGCTGAACAGAACCGGTCCAGTGATCGTGATCCTGACAGTGTTCAGGGTCTCCTATGCTGCAAGGAGAACTGTCAGTTACACAAGTAGGTTTCTGCAGTACATTTTTGCATATTTTAAACCCCCACTGTGTTTTGTGCTACAGTAGGTCAAGTGCGTGAAACTAGTGGCCTTTAAACGGTCACGGTCAAGTGGATTAATAAAGTAACAAATTAGCTTCTTCTCATTCGTAGGTTTCAGGCTTAGCAGAACTTTCTTCCCACACATTTATATTCCTGCCAGGCTCCGCTTAATCTGCTGGAGGGGACATGGACAGGGTTGTTTGACGCAAGAAAAGGAAAATATATATTGTGTTACATGCGTCTGATTTCACAATTTTCACATTTGCAATGTTATTTCTCACAATTCTGACATCTCACACTTCAAAATGTATTTCTTGCAATTGCAAATTTTATATTTCAGAACTTTATCTCCCATCTTTATATCTAACAATTGCAACTTAATTTATTGTCATTGCAACTTTATATCTAACAGTTGTGACTTTTTTGTTCACAATTATGGCTTTATTGCTCGTAATTGAGGCTTTATATCTAACAATTGTGACTTTATATCTAACAGTTGCAACTTAATTTTTGCAACTGCTACTTTATATCTAACAATTGCGATTTCATTGTTTGTAATTGAGACTTCATATCTAACAGTTGCGACTGCATTGTTCAGAAATGCGACTTTATATCTTAACAATTGTGATTTCATTGTTCGTAATTGCGACTTTATATCTAATAGTCACGACTTCATCTGCGACTTTATAACTAACAATCGGGACTTCATTGTTTATAATTGATGACTTTATATCTAACAATTGCGACTTTGTTGTTTGTGTCTTTATATCTAACACTTTAAGTCCCATCCTTCGGTTTTTCTAATAGAATATTCTGAAATACGCTAAAATAGGCTCTTTTGGTTGATCTCAGAAAAAGTAAATATTTTACACAGTATTTTAGTCTGTACAACTCCAGAGTAAAATGCTATCTGTTGTTGTTTTTAACATGAATTTATACCATTAGGATTCTCATATATTTCGATCTTCAGAACGGCTCTGATTTCTAACCATGCTGCATGTATTTCAGGGACTTTTCCCATGAGCGCTCTGTTTCCACCAGCCGCTCGTCACTGAAGCTTGAGGAACAAGACGAGTGCTGGGAGCTGAAGCGCTCGGTTGATTCCCTGCAGGCGCAGCTGAGCACAGAGCGCGCTCAGAGAGAGGCGGCCGAGCTGGAAGCTGATGCTCTGGTGCATGAACTCAGCCAGCTGGAGCCCAAAGTGGCGCTGCTCGGAGTCTACAAGGAGCACCTGGCCGAGAAGGAGGCTGAAGTCCAGGAGCTCCGCCTGCTTTTGCGCTCGAGCAAAGATAACATGTTCCTCCCATTGGATGATGAAATGGGCGGGGCTGGACACAGGGGGCGGAGCCTGCGGCGGTGCTGCAGCAGCGAGAGGCAGTTGCTTAGTGATGAGCAGCCTGCAGTGAAGCATCATGGTATCTCTCTTCTAAATGAGGTGGATGCTCAATACACCGCCCTGCAGGAGAAATACGACACGCTGCTGCGCCGCTGCAATGGTGGGATGTTGTCAGAGAAGCAAAAAACTGGCCAAACGTGCACACACTCGCCGGGTGTAAACACACAGAACGATTCCCAGCAGCCCGAGTACAAGGCCCTGTTTCAGGAGATTTTCACCTTTATCCAAAAGAGCCAAAAGGACCTGAAGGAGAACAGGATCAATCCCGGTCAGGTTGAATGAGGCACTGATCTGTGTCTATAGCTATAGAACTAGTATAGAAACCTTAAAGGTTTGATACGGCAGGTTTATCCCAGGTACTCTCTTGCTTTTATTGCCACTTTTATTACCTGGTGGCGAGTGTATATAAAGCACTTTTGTAAATATTTCTAAATGTTACTGTAAAAATAAAATAAAGAATAATCGGTTATCGGTATCGGCCAAAATTTTCATATCGGTGCATCCCTATAAAGCACTTTTGTAAATATTTCTAAATGTTACTGTAAAAAAAAAAGCTGTAAACTTAAATGTACTGTAACAGATCTCTGAAGCAAACATGTATTTATAGTGGAGTGAATCTCACAAAAACATTTCCAGGTTATATATTACTACATAATCAGTAGGAAAAAAATTATATTAGCATAAATCAATACAATAAATAAAAAGTAAAATAGTAGTAAAACACAATATAGCCTTTGGTGCAAATTTAAAAATGTCAAACTGTGTTAATGAACGTAATTGAATGATCTAAGAAGAAGAATGTAATTAAATTGTAAAAGTTGTTGTAATACTTACAGTTGTGTACAGAAGTTTTACTTTGAAAATCACCCTGACCAGAAACAATTACAAATCACTGTAAATTATAGGCAGAGCAGATGCAAACATTAGATGAACACAAATATGTATAGATGTTTTATTATTTAAATACATCATTTGTTGGTCTGCATTACAGTAATGTGAAAGAGTGCTTATTTGCCATGAAAATAATGAAATGCAATAATCATAATGATACAAAAATAGTCTTTAATTTTTATATTCTCCTTTGAATTTTGAAGATATATTTACTTTAGCTTTGTGCAATAAAGCCTAGTGTTTTAGTCATTACTGATCTGTGCATTTGTTGCATCTGTTAAAGGAATTCCATTCCATCTTAAAGATGTCAAACAAGTTTCAGTCTCAACCTTGTTAGTACCATTCATTCATAACCCCATAACAGGGCAAGTGTCTCCAGTCCAGTGTTTGCATGTGAACTTTCACCTGTATCAGTGCAAATGAGAAGACTGAACTTTATACGGCACATAAATGGACTTTCCACCCAGACTCTTGGACATCAGAGAACATCGTCTTCAGTTCCAGAGGAAAGGCTGCTTCTAATCAAGGCCTTTGATAAGATTCGAGTGACGTCGCAGCATTAGATAATGCATTTATCAGGCTGACATGCGCCGTCTGTTATCTTCAATACAGATGCACTGCACATTAGAGATAGCACTGGGTTGTATTTAAAATAGAAAAATTACAAAGGCATAATGTTGTAAGCTTAGACACTGGGTAGAATTTCAGGAAACGTACATTATAGAACAGACTTATTTTGAGACTTAAAAAAGATCAATTTCTAGCATATATGGAGAAATACGAAGTACTGTAATGTAATCAGTAATCAATGATTGCGTATATGTAAATTACTAACCTCAAAAACAAAAAGTATAGCCCTGGTTCTACTGATATATTTGTCCCTTTATTTCCTTAATACTACATAAAATAATTTGACAGTTTCACATTCTAGTAGATTTTCTGCAGTTAACTGAGCATTAGTGTTTATCAACTATCAAAGTGTTGGTTTTGTATTAGCCTTGCTCAATATTTTGTAATATAAATTAAGATAAAATAAGGTTATTTTTGATAACTATTTTAGTGTCCTTGTTACATGTTTTTATTACGGTAATAACTGCAGATAATGCATAATTACATGCAACTAAATCGAAACCAAACCATATAGAAAGTTAATACGAACTAATTAACTAAGTATTATTTCGTATATAAATACACTGTAACAAGGACACCTTAAACTAAAGTGGCAGATTGCTTAAAAAAAAAGCAGCTAAAAAAAAAGAAGACAGGACTGAACAAATACAAATAACAGTGTTAATGTTGTAGAATTGCTCGGTTATGAAATCAATTTCAGCTGTAAAGCAGCTCTACAGAAGACAAGAAGTGTCATATTCCAGCTCAGTTTATTTCACATTTTGTTCTCATCTGATAATGTCACTGCAGTTAAATCAATAATGCTACTGAATGTAAATTGTCTTTTGTAGGATAAAATATAAAACAAGAACTTTTGAAGATGAGTTGTCAGTTGCAACGTTTATTCAGAATGACATACAACTAAAACAGGTCCGATTTGGGGTTCTCTGCTGTTTGAGTGTGCGACTGTACAGACATGGCAACGATGATCCAGAATATGAATATGTGGAATGATTAATAAACAGACGGACAGTGAACGCTTTATATGCAGGAGTGGAGGAGACACATGTGCATGTGAAGGTGATTTCAGTCATAATTATAAGACTGCAAATCATACTGATAGAATATTTCCCCTGAATAACTAAGAGGCACTTTCTTTCACACCCAAACACAGTTTAGCAACTTGAGCAAAAATCCCAGATCACTTGCATGACGAGAGGGCCGGGAAAAAAAAAAGGTGTAACCATTATGCATTTTTTATTTTCAGAAGAAATGAATTTTTTAATTGCTTCAACATTTATGCAGAATGCCATAAACGGTCTGACATATAATGGACAAGACTGCAAATATAAATCCACTGCAAATGTCATTCAGAGCTTCACATTCCAATGTCAATCTCCCTTCAGGTCCAATAAATATTCATGAGCATTGATTCATATATTAGACTTGCAGGGTTTGTTAGAATTGAGCTAAACTGCTCCAGAATCAACCAACGTTTTGTCCTTTTTTTTGGTTGTCAGAGCTGTAAACATTTCAACGGGAGCTTCATAGCCTTCATTTGACCCAATGACAGCTGAGAAATTAATGTTTCGGAGGATTTATTATAATCTAGTGGTCTTCAAATGTGTCCGTATCCTGCAGCCTGTTTTCTTTGGGTTACAGTAAAGTCATTCTTAAACGTGGGGCAAAATACCAAAAAAAAAATCCTCAATATGCAATAAAATCAAGAAAACGATTGAACAAACATCTTTTTTCAGTCAGCTAAAGGTAAGAAACAAGGCCAAAATCTGCCGACAAGCTCCCAAAGGCCACAAGCAGGATAAAATGAGATGAATCATGATCTCCTGTCATTTTTATTAGCAATACCTACTTTCATATCAGGTCATAAAAAAGAAAGCAAAAGAAAACCAGCATAACTGATCGTATGCGCTCAGCACACAACTCCTTTCCTCGTACTTCAATTTTCCACAAACGCAGGATCGAATGGATCTTCAGCCCTTTTCGTGAGATGCTCATGTGACCAGACGTAAGGGTTAACGGAGTGGGCGTGTCCCCGGGCCGGTGGTGTCAGCCGAGGGCAGTGATTGGTTGGGTGTGATGGCTCCGCGTTCGTTCTCTCTGAACTCTGAAAGAGGGAGGCGTGTGATTGACAGGATCTGCGGCACTCCGGCTCTCCTGTCAGGAGGGAACGGTTCCCTTCAGATACCACATCCCTCCCAAACTCATGCAGCACTCCTGAAGCAAACACAACACTGCTGTCAGCAGGGAACACATCACACTTTACTAAGGGTTAACAATGACCGGCACATACAACTTACATGCTAACACTTTAGTACAGGGACCAATAATCACGATTAACTAGTTGCTTATTATCAAGCCTATTAGTAACATATTGGCTGATTATTAGTGCTTATAAAGCACATATTCTGCAAGACCATATTCTACATCCCTAACCCTACCAATACCTTAAAGTTGGGGTAAGCGATTTTTCAAAAGCGCTTTAGAAAACTGATTCGGGCCGAATAGCAAAACAAACTTGTAACCAATCAGCAGTAAGGGGCGTGTCTACTCGTGATGTGGAGGAGAGAGCGTTCAGTGCACAGGACGGACGTTAGCCGAGCCGAGCGACAGAAAGATAAGAGATGGCCGATAAAAAACTGAGAAAGTTAATTCGGCTCACAGTTCAGACAATTTGGAGACACAATTAACAATGCAACTAAGACACTGTAAAGAAATGCATTCGAACTATATTTGTAAGTATAGCCTGACATCAGGATATACGTGTTGTTTTAAGAATCAAAGAGACAGGAACACATCATTAAGACTCTCAGAATGATTCTGGACTAATCTGTAAAGAGCTTTAACTCCATTAGGAGTAGTTACATAAGTACCGTTTACCAGCTACACACACACACACACACCCTTAATCCAATTAACCTTAAGAACAAAGGACCAGACCACATCTTAAAATCAAACACATTATCTTAATGAGCAGGACAGACATAGACTTAAGTCGGTTAAAGACATAAACTAACAGAAAACCGTTCACCTCTTCTTAGAGGTGCTCACATCACTGAGCATATTAGTACTGCTCAATACAGGAACATCATCAAAATATAATATTAAGATATCTGACCAATATTGCAAGACATACTATATTCAGCCCTCAGAATATTTTCTGCTATTAATACATGAACATATATATCAAAATAAAGAACCGAGCCTCTGCTTTTAAACAGAAAAAAACTATTTTATTCTATCTTCATGCGTTCATGTTTTATCACCACTTGAATGCAGATAGGTTTCATCAGAAATACATTTTGGACAAAAAATTTAGAAAAATGCATTTTTATCAAACTAGTGCATTTTCAAGCAAAATACACGGATTGCCGTAAAAACTCGTCTTTGGCCGGGAAACATTGTCTCTTAATTGACGAGATATCTCATCAATGGCTGGGAAAGAGTTAATAGTGAGAATTGGTCCCTAAACTAAAGTGTCACCAAATTATTTATGTAATAAAATAATGGTCAAATGAATCACATTAAAATCACTGTGATGTTAATGATGTAGCTTAGTTTTCTATCTGCTAAAATGAATACATGTAAATATTGACAAACCATAGTGCATATTTTTAATTGAATCAATCTATATTGGGCTTATAATTCATATTAATATCAGTGCATCTATACTTGTTTTCCAAATGCATATTTTAAATCAGTTTATAACAAAGCACTATGTGGTGCACTAAAACCGCCCATCATCCACCACAGTACTTACAGGCACCAGGATCTGTCTGCACTGGCTCTGGAGGATGGTCTCCTGCAGCATGCGGTCCGTCACGTGGCCGTACACCGAGTGCCCCGTGGGTAAACTGGCCAGATGCAGGTTAAACAGCCTCTTCACTTCACTCAGGCACAAAACATAGTGCTTCCGGAAGGTACTCCGCACAAAGTCCTGGAGCTCCGGGGTGAAGGCGTGAGCGTGTCCGTTATGAGGGTCCGAGGCCGGAGAGGTAGAGTTGGGGTAACCGTTGATCGAGCCGTTAGTGAGCGGGCCTGACGTGTCCATGGGCTCTTCAGAGTCACTCATGGGCTCCTGTTTGACCTGCACCGGGGCGGCAGATTCACCGGATGATGCCGTGTTTCTGGCCGCCTTCAGTCTACGAGCGTCCAGCTCCCTCTGCATGGCGGATTGGTTATCTCTAGCGTTCTCCTTCGCCGATTTCAGACGCTGGTCTCCGCTGATGTGAACGGGCTCTGCAGAAAACACAGGACCACATGAACATGCAGAAACAATACGGTTTATACGTTTGGGTTCAGCAGGTTTAGTTTGGCAAGGACGCATTAAATTGATCAAAAGTGACGGTAAAGACATTTATAATGTTACACAAGATTTCGATTTCAAACAAATGCTGTTCCGCACAAAGTCCTGGAGCTCCGGGGTGAAGGCGTGAGCGTGTCCGTTATGAGGGTCCGAGGCCGGAGAGGTAGAGTTGGGGTAACCGTTGATCGAGCCGTTAGTGAGCGGGCCTGACGTGTCCATGGGCTCTTCAGAGTCACTCATGGGCTCCTGTTTGACCTGCACCGGGGCGGCAGATTCACCGGATGATGCCGTGTTTCTGGCCGCCTTCAGTCTACGAGCGTCCAGCTCCCTCTGCATGGCGGATTGGTTTTCTCTAGCGTTCTCCTTCGCCGATTTCAGACGCTGGTCTCCGCTGATGTGAACGGGCTCTGCAGAAAACACAGGACCACATGAACATACAGAAACAATACGGTTTATACGTTTGGGTTCAGCAGGTTTAGTTTGGCAAGGACGCATTAAATTGATCAAAAGTGACGGTAAAGACATTTATAATGTGACACAAGATTTCGATTTCAAACAAATTCTGTTCTTTTGAACTTTCTCTTCATCTGTGAATCCTGAAAAATAAAATGCCTCACAGTTTCCACAAAAATATCGGGCAGCACAACGGCTTTTAACACTGAGAATAATCAGAAATGTTTCTTGAGCAGCAAATCAGCATATTATACTGATTTCTGAAGATCATGTGACACTGAAGACTGGAGCAATGATGCTGAAAATACAGCTTTGATCACAGCAATCAATTACAGTTTAACATATATTCACATAGAAAACAGTTATTTTAAATCGTTTTACATTCGATCAAATAAATGCAGCCTTGGTGAGGAGAAGAGACTTTAAAAGCATTAAGAATTCTTACAGACCTCAAACCTTTGAACAGTGGTATATATATATATTACACAAGTAAAAAGTCAGAACATACCCATCTGAGCATCCTTTTTCAGCACAAAGTCATCTTTGGAGAAGTTAAACACTTTTTCCAACCTGCAATATAGTGTTTATTTAGAAAAACACTGGGAGACTGAGATTCCTATTAAGACCAAACTATGTACGATATCTTTACTATTCTGTGTTATTTATCCTATTTATCTAAAGCATTCTCAATGTAGAGAGGAAACAAACACCATCCTCGCCTCTTCACGACCCAGTTGCCCTGAACGAGCAGCGCTACCTGCTGGATGCAGCGCAGCACTGCGGTGGAGTCCGTTCCTGAGGCCAGCAGCCCCATCAGATTGGCAAACGGCATCACCTTCACTACGAGCAAAAGAAAACGGTTATAGAGAGACAGAAACAATTTGCCTGAAAGTTCTAAGAGGTCCGGTTTCAGCGGGGGTCCTGAAAATGCTTTTTGGAACAGTTATAAACTTCCATCTTGACAGCAGTAATTTACATTTAGTCATTTAGCAGACGCTTTTATCCAAAGCGACTTACAAATGAGTGAAGCAATCAAAATCAACAAAAGAGCAATGATATGCAAGTGCTATGACGGAGAAAGGGTGCAGTGCACGGAGCAAGGGTGTAATTTGCAAAAGAAAAAATCCTAAGCAGTTAAAATACTCATCAAAGTTGTGGCTACTGGGACCCGAGAGCCAAAGCGGTGTGTCTGGGAATTATTATACAAATGTCAATATTTTTAGCAGTTGAGCTCAATTGGGTTTGAATATTAAAAGGTAAGATCAGATGTTTAATCAGTCTATTATTATTTTTACATTTAGATACCACGTACGGCAGAAGGCCACATGATTGAGGCTTCAGGGAAAGTCTGGAACATTTTGACATTTTGCTTAAAATAAGTATCCACTAAAATCAAACAAACAATGTACATAATCTAAACACTCTCAACATGAGCAGAAAAGAAAGGTAATTAGTCATTTCAAAGTTTATTCTCTCTTTCCTTGCCATATACAAATCATGTTTTCCAATTATAACACTATAATGCTTTGAACATGCTGATTAATAATGCTAAATGTAGATGAAAAAGATGAAAATCACAAGTCTGGTTTATTTGAACAGTCGGAGTCATATCTGAAACTCGATTGCTGCATTCTCATTTCTAGCAGCGTTTTAGCAAAAGTATCAACTTATTTTGCTGCTCACTGTGTTTCTGCTACTACTGTTAAAATAACCACTTCATCTGCAGCTCATGTGGTGTTTTCCGTCTTTAGCACACGGAGAGGAGAGGGCTTGAACGAAGCCCTTCCATTCTCACTCGCTCTGCAATAGTGTAATGTAACGCGCTGATGACGGATCATGTCTGTGTGAACAGGGTGCAAGGAGGTATGCAAATTCATACGTTGACAGGCAGGTAGGACAGCCTATCGTAGTCCTCGGACCGAGGGATATGATTGGATGAACTTTTTATGATCCTATGCCTTCCATAGATTATATAAATTAGAGGTTGACCGATGTATCGGTTTTACCGATTAATCGGCACCGATAGTTGATTGCTGGAACTATCGGTTATCGACAAAAATCCATGCCGATTGTTTTCCGGGTTGCGTTCATTGCTGGAGCGGCTGAGAGGGGTCTGCTGTCATTACACAGTGCGAGAGCAGCCTCTAGTGGTTGAAATCACTGACAGCACGTGCTAATTGTTTAGATATTTGTAGCAATAGCCAACAATACATTGCATGGGTCAAAATTATTAATTTTTCTTTTATGCCAAAAATCATTAGGATATTAAGTAAAGATCATGTTCCATGAAGATAGTTTGTAAATTCCCTACCGTAAATATATCAAAACTTAATTTTTGATTAGTAATATGCATTGCTAAGAACTTCATTTGGACAACTTTAAATTTTTTTGCACCCTCAGATTCCAGATTTTCAAATAGTTACATCTCAGCAAAATATTGTCCTATCCTAACAAACCATACATCAATGCTTATTTATTCAGCTTTCAGATGATTATTAATCTCAATATCAAAAAATGTACCCTTATGACTGGTTTTGTGGTCCAGGGTCACATATATCTTTTTGGGGTGGACTTAAATGAGATATTAGAGCCTTTATTTATTAAAAGGGTTGGTCTGATTTCATAAGTATCCAAGAAATGTATTTGATTAAACTGTAAAAAAAAAAGAACACCCTCCAACATTTTAATTATTTAAAGATATTATAAACGACACACTGCACATGAAACATTTAACAAACAGTTTAAAAAACAAAACCCACATCTTCTTAGAGACCTGGAATATCTATTATGAACCCTTTGACTCATGCCTACATATTTAAATTTATTTAATTAGTTTCCTCACTGAACATTCTTGTGCTATCATTTGATTTCAGTTTTAATTTGCTAATAAATTGGATTTGCTGATGTATGCGTTTTCATATTTGTATACTCTGAAGCTGCTAAATGTAGAATATTTCTATTGTTTTGATTGTTATATTATAAACTGATACACATTTAGACCACTTCACTTAGCGATTGTTATCGGCATGTGAAGAGACTTTTTACCAGCATAACAAAAAAATGTTATGAACCAAATCACTGCCTTTAAACAGTAGAAATATTGGTGCTACTTGTTGTCATAATGTCTCACAGCTCGGTTGGAACCAAGACAGGGTCCAGAACCCGGATTGCGGTCCTCTATTTGAGGATGCCTGAACTAGACCATAAACCCAAGCTCACCGTTCTTCATCAGCGTCTTGACTTGTTCCCCCAGAGGCAGCGTGCGGAGCTGGGCCATGGAGAGCACGTTACTGGGACCCATGGGCTTGGTGCTAGAGGACGAGATGACAACATAAGAAAAGGAAAATGGGAAAAATACAAACACCTCACAGCATCCTACTGAATGTTCTTCTACTTACACTTTTTCTTCAGCCAAAGGAGGCATGAGCATGGACAGATATTCACTGAGGAGAGAGCAAAAATACATCAGATGAACACACATATTTCACAATCTGATCCTCCAGTGTTCAGAAGGCACTAACCGTGGCGTTTTCACCAGTTCTGTGTTTTCTGCGGTGTCCATGGCCTGGCAGTAAAGATACTGGCGCTCGTGCTCAGAACGTCCGTCCTAAAGATGAATCACAATAAACGAGAATACATGAATAATATAATACACACTGAATGATTCCGGATAAAATATTAGATGACATTTCAATAATTAAACATTTAACACATTCGAGTCTGCAGTTCTCTGATGTCGCTTAATGTTTACAGTTAAATATTTCATCTCTTTTGGTGATTTATTTGAATTATTTTTTAAATGTTTTTTATAAAGGCAGAACGTCTTGAACAAATTACACAGCATTGTGACTATTTTGCCATTATACAATATTGCGATTTGAACTGTGATATAAACATTTCACTTTTTGTTCCAAACATTCACAGTATTTTTTTAAACCTCAATCATAATTTATTATTAATAATAATGCTATTAATATCATTTACTGTAATTGTATTGTACTGTAATAAAAACAAATCTTTGATAATATTATCACATATCGAAAACCAAAACCTTACTTAAAGTCCCAGAGATTTAATGCTAATATTTCAATAATTTAACAACACAATTGCACGTTCACAGTTCTCTGCTGTCAGTTAATAGTCACATCACATGCAATTAGAAAGCCTTTTTTTTTTTTTTGAAACAAAAATCTAAATTTTTTATTATCATTATTAATAACAACAAGAAATATAATAATAAAGCTATTATTAGTGTTATAAATTACAACTGCACTGTAAAAAAAATAAAATATTTCATAATATAATATTTTTTTATTAAATTGATATGCCTCAAGTTCTTCAATTTCAAACATTGAGACTGCAAGTTTACTATGATTTCAGGAGCAAAGTCAAAGTCTTTGTAAGTGTAAGAAATTTGATTTCTGAGCAGTAATAACGAAGTGTTTGTTTGATGTGGTTTACAGTGAGATCACAGTGAGTCAAGTGTGCGGGTCACATGATCACACGCACCTTTACACCGTGGTAATGCAGGTGAAGCCAGGGCTCTTCAGCCTGTTTCTTCTGCAGGAACTCGTACGACTGGATGCGGCGCTGACGGGCCTGTTCTGACTCGGGCCGGGAAAACCTCACCTGGTTAAAGGGCAAGTAAACAATAAGAGCACTGAGCATGAGCACGGGCTCAAACACAGATCATGACTCAGCATTTTGTTCTATACTTTCCAAAAAAGAAAACAACTGCATGAAGTCTTACAGTGATTTGTTTAACATCCTCTTCTGCCTCATCCTGAGAAGAGTCTCCAGCTGCAAATGGACACACTCATTAGATCGTCTTAATAATGCATCTATCATACTGGTCAGAATTGCATAATATTTAAATATTCCAGTCTGGTTTTCATGAGAGCACCTTGAGATTTGGATTGGTGCTCACACTGCACATAGTTTGACCCGTTAAATATAACTATAAAAATAAAATAATTAATAGTAACAATAGTATTATTGCACTTTCAGTTTTTTTTATACTTTTTAAAAATACTTTTGTTTGTATTTTTTAATATAAAAAAACAATTGTTTTATAATACACTTAAACAATACTAATTACTACATTTTTATTTATAAAATTTATTTTTGTATATGAATTTTCAAAATTTTCAAACCTAATATCAGCAAGCTTTTATTTTGGCGGGTTGCTGGCAAGTAAGTATATGCGCTGATATAATATATAGATATATATATATCTACCAAATGTTTCCATATATAATTTTTTTCTTCCCTACATTGTTTTAAAACTATTTCCGATTTTTTTAATATTTTCTATTCTGACTTGTGTACATTTTTTTGTGATCCTGTTATTCTTCTGTTAAATTGTATTCAACGTTTAGAGTTGAAAAAAGCATTTCACGGCACATCATATATGTATGGTTATGTGTGACAAATAAAATATATTTTAAACAGTGTTATTGTAGTACCACTGCCATACTAATATAGTTTTATTAATATTTTGAACCAATTTTTATTTTTCTATTTTCCATTTTCATTTTAGTAACTTTGTTGTGTTTTTGTCTTCTTTTTTTAATCTACATCTATATATTGTTTATTAATTGTAATTCAGTTTTAGTTATTTTAGTACATCAAGTTAAACTAAATTAAAATGAGAGATGTTGCCTTGGAAACTAGCTGAAATAAAAAGTTTCCATTTGAGTTGATTTCATGCAATGTTTATGTTTCTTTCAATGGTGTTAATTTTTAGTTTTAGCTATCTGATTTAAGAAAATAAAAAATGTTTCATATATAATGCCTTTATGATCAAATCTAGAAAGGATACCGTATTAAAATAAAAACCAGAAGTGACCCCAAAACACCCCGCACCTTCATTGGCCGCCTCTCTTTCTCTATGTTTAGTATCAGCTTTATCAAGGTAGGTGAAGCTGGGCCTCATCTGGAGGATTCCCTGCAGTGGAGTGAGATGAAGCTCTCCTGCAACCAAAACATCAATAACAGATCATCACATAATTGCTTCTACTCCACAGGGACGCGACGCTGCAAAAGCCAACCTTTGTGAAACACAGCCGCAGCGTAGCGGGACGTGTTAGTGGTCGCCTGGATCGAGGAGAACGTTTGCTTGTCCATCATTTTCCTGCAAGCAGAAGGAAGAGATTAAAACTACGAACACACCAAAGTCTGGCAGTAAACATCAGAAAGCTTGATGCTCCTCACGTCGAGTAAACGTTGGAGTCCTCCGAGGACGTGCCGTCCACATTGAGCGCGATCTGCTCGCCTTTACTGCCGCAGTAGTTCGGACTCATGGTGTCCATGGCCACCTCCAGTTCAACCTGGATGCAGGGAGGAAAAACGTGAGCTCTGTGTTTAATAGGAGAAACTTCAGAAACGAGCAGTGAACGCCAGCTTACCTTCTGCTGCTTGGGTTTAATCCTGGCCGCCAAATGAGTCACATTCTCATAGCTCATAGAAGCAGGACGCACTGGATACTGGAGAGGAAAATGTTCAAGGCAGTGACTGCATAAGTTATGCAACTAGTGATATTTAAAGATTATCAGTCACTACCGTGACCTTTGTATTACACTGAAAATTCCAGCCTTGCCTATGCATGAGCAATTTCTTGGTGAAAAATACGATACAGGTTAAGAGTAGCAGGATTTTTAGAAGAAATTAAATTGATCAAAAGTGCCAGTAAAGACAATTATAATGTTACAAAAGATTTTTCTACTCGAAGGATCCTGAAAAAATAAAATGCATCACCGTTTCCACAAAAATATGAAGCAGCACACCTGTTTTCAGCATTGATAAGACTCAGAAATGTTTCTTGAGCAGCATATTAGAATAATTTCTGAAGATCATGTGACACTGAAGACTGGAGTAATGATGCTGAAAATACAGCTGCGCATCACAGAAATACATTACATTTTCCAATATACTCACACAGAATTGTGTTAATTTAAATTCTAAAAATATTTCACAATATTACTGTTTTTACTGCATTTTCTGATCAAATAAATGCAGCCGTGGTGAGCAAAAAACACTACTTTAAAAAAAAAAAAAATTAATTTGTACTGACTCCAAATTTGTCATTGGCCATCATTAAACTAAATATTAACAGCTCTGATATCAATTTTGATATCGGACAACCACTAGCTATAACCTTCTTCTGTATGAAATATATTATCTGTCATTCTTACCTGGAACAAATACAGCTTTTCCACGAGACTTCTGGCCAGATACACATCAATCTAACAAGAGAGAGAGCGCAGTAAGAATGATAGAGTTGCTAAAAACAACAATAACTCTGCAGTTTGATCGTCCTGTATTAGTTCAGCATGTTCATGTCTACCTCTTGTATAATTGGATCATCATCATCTCCGCTGGCCATAATGAAGACCGGAGGAGGACTTCAAACCTGCAAACACACACAAACATACATATGAATGTGTGTATGTGTATGTGTATACAGTATATATATATATATATTAGTGCTGTCAAATGATTAATCGCATCCAAAATAAAAGTTTTTGTTTACATATATATGTGTGTGTACTGTTTATTATGCATATATAAAGACACACACACATAGCATATATTTTGAAAATATTTATTTTACATGTATTTGCATGTATATATTTATATTCATATAAATTATATCATATCAAAATATTTAATATATAACCGTAACATTTTTCTCACATATATACATGCGTGTGTGTCTATTTTATTTATTTATTTATATATATATATGACTTCTTACCTCATAATTTTGACTTAATATATCTCAGTTTCGGCTATTTGTGTTATAATTATTAATTACCAAAGCATAATTTTCATTGTGGTTGAAATAGTTTTTTCCATAACATGCATGCACGTACATACTCACCATATACAGGTTTATGTAATCTAATCTTTTGAAACCGTCAATCAATCACTGTTTGTCATGATAATTAGCAGGCGACTCCGGTTTAGTGAATGATGCAACACGATACTGACAGCCAGCAGCTTTATAACACATACCATCACACATTCAATATAAAAGTTGAAGTATAAAAGTACAGATGAAGGGAATCTGAACAGATTCAACATGCTAAGATGACTTAGCAGCTCTCTGCGGATAAACATAACATGACACACGCGCGCTGAACGCCTCAAATTCATTTTTGACACAAATGGAACCCCATACGTTTTTGACACAAATGGAACGCCATACGTTTTTGACACAAATGGAACCTCATACCATTCGCAATCTGTGTATGTTTACATACATGTTTTTATACGTATGTAACTTTTGATACGACACTGTGACTGCCCGATGGTTCTGAACACATCTGACACACACTTACCGAGGCCTCGCTGATCCACTAACGTTATATCAACAAGAGCCTGACGCTGAAGTTGCGATCTGAGCTGTGCGTCCCCGCGCTAAACCCAGCGTTAGTGAAGATGTCTCGAAGTTCTTCAGCTGGACTGTGTGAGGATCTCTCTCTGTGTGTGGATCGTGTGGATGAGAGATGTTGCTGCCATGTTGCTGATCACAGCGCTGCAGTCACTCAAACACGTGGGGAGGAGCTGAGTGCGGCTCGCCATGTCCCAGCATGCACTGCGGCCGCGTCACAAAACCAGCGCGGTGACACTAGGGAGCGTGCGAGAACAGCGTCTATGTAGGGAGCATACTGTGTTTGCGCTCATCTTCTGCGGTTACGCATGTGAAAAAGAAGTGCACTTAATTGTACTGAATGCGTATGGAAGCTCGTTTCCGCCAAAGAATAAAAAATAAAAAGGTATGCATAATTGATCTCATAAACATGAGTTTTTCTCTCAAAAAGTCAGATAAAAAGTCGCAAATCCAATAGACTTCCTTACTTACAGTGTACTACTTCATATCTTACAAGTAGCCTATGTTTCTATAACTGTAGCCTACTTGCAGATAATAAATTATTAATAAAAGTGTACTTAAAAGTGTGCAGTAGGCCTACTATACTTTAAAAAGTATAGTATATACTATAAAAGTTAAAGTATATACTATACATTTTGAACATTTTAAAGTCCAACGTTATTTTTTATTAGCCTACGTTTAAAGTTAATATACTAAACTGCAACTTCATTATTGCGAATGTGTAATTATAATTATGTTTCAATAGAATAGGGGTTTCGATAGAAATGACAATCAAATTTAGTTTATGATGCTTGTCAGTAGGCTACATTCAGCAGCAACACTTTAACCATATTTCAAAGACAACAGAAGAAATTATGAAATTATAAATTCAGATAATTGCATTCATTACGAATTTAAAGTATGATATTTGTATTTAATTGTAAATACCATGCAATTAGGTGTCTTATATTCCGTTCACATGTAAGTATACTCTTTTAAAGTATATTATGTATAATGTATATTATCTTCCATACTCTGTTTAAAAAAAGCTATACATTATATATATATATATAGCCTATATATATATACTGTGTGTGTGTGTTATATTAATCTGAGCAGTGTAACTGAGTTCTTGCTTGAATTATTTTATGCCATCAATATCTTGTATCCTTGTGTTTAAGTGTTGCACTTCTAAATTTGTAGCACATTATCTCCAACACAAACATGCATAGTTTTCATTTTGCCTACTTTATTTTATTATGTTACGGTTCCACATTCAAATCAACAACACTGTGATATTGACTAAACGGACTGGAGACTGTAAAAACGCATTAATGCATGTCATTGGCTTTCTGTCCCCCTGAAATGTGAAATCATTTGAAATACTTTTTTTGGGGGGCTTTCCTAGATATGCACATTTAAACTCTAAATCCTAAAATCGAATATATTTAATCTGGTCAACATTAAAATGTATTGAAGGTTTTGATACAACTTTTACTGTAGCAGTTTGCCACTCACTGTTGTAACGGGGCTGACGAGACGTGAGACGTGTGGATCCGTCTGCAAGCTTTTATTTCAGAGACGTGGTCATAATAAGCAGGGTCGAACAATGGCAAACAGGTATATGGCGGGCAAAACACAAGAATAGTCCTAGGGCTAGCGTAGGTCACTGATCGGCAGACAGAATCACAGGGGCGAGACGAGAAGGAAAAATCCAGGAAAACAGGCAAAGATCAGAACCCGAGAAAACAGACAGGGCAAGGCAAAACAAGGAAACACAGAGACTCGGAACAGGGTACAGGCTAAACAATACTCAGCAGAGAATGGTTGTTTGAGTGAGTGTTATATAGTGAATGTGTGATTGATGACAGCTGTGTGCAATCAGTGCTGTGTGCAATCAGTGCAATGGCTGATGGGATATGTAGTCCGGGATGACATGCAACAGTTTGTGTTGTGCGAGAGTCAGTGTAATGGAAAGGGTGACCTCTGGTGGTGATTGAACGGAAGTCCATGGACAGGATTCGTGACAACTGTACTCTACTGTATATAAACTGCTTGTTTACACAAATGTCAAAATCTGACTGCTATGACTTTCAGCCTCCTGCAGGCAATCATACACCTTCTGTAATTCATAAAAATCAGTTTCAACCCTGTTTCACTGAAAAGCATTGCTCTTCATAATATTACAGTTATGTTAGCCAGCATTTACAGACATCGGTGGCAAAATATGAGTTCACAGTTGTAGTTAGAATGAATTAAACGCACATCTATGAGCTACTCTAGTGAACACACTTCATAATGGGAATGTATTTGTAAAAGTTTCATCTGAGTTGGTAATCCTGAATCTACATCCAGCCTGTTATTTGCATGATTTGATCAACAACTGTGATATTTACACCCAAACTGCTGTTCATACAGCGATCGGCATTCTTCAGAGATGCTATCTGACGGCCGCGAAGCCTGACTGAAATGAAATGTGTTTGTGTAGATCGAGTCTTCATCTGTTCTGAAAGCTAACCGGAGAAAACTCCTTTTCATCATCCAGACGGATGGGTTCATCCGCAAACTCATGTTCTGGGATCAGCTCTCCTCTCTTCACACCAACATCCTCAGAGAAACCTGAAGGAAACACCGTCATTTACCAGCTGCTTGGATCGAGTTCCACCAGGAGGGAACAGTTAATGTAAAAGTCTGTGAAAGTGATTTTGTGACTCTTTGGGATGGCACAGTAAAGCGCCGTTCACTTGCAGAACGCAAGCTTCTAGAGGCACATAACTCTGAAGTAATGAATTTAGGTAAATGGTTGCAGAGCCAGTGGTGGTTTTGTAGGCAAATATTAATGCCTTGAATTTTATGCGAGCAGGTATTGGTAGCCAGTGCAAATTAATGAACAGAGGTGTGACGTGCATTCTTTCTGGTTCGTTAAAAATTAATCTTGCTGCCGTGTTCTGGATTAATTGTAAAGATTTTATAGAACTGGCTGGAAGTCCTGCCAAGGTCTTATGGGGCTTGCGATGTACCTGTGAGGGAACTAGAAGACGGAGAGTCTGGATTTGTGCTTGTGGCAACAGTTGCTGTGACTGCCAGCCTCCAGTTCTGTTTCATCTTCACTGTCAAACAGTCTGATGGATGAATGAAATGCAAATTTATCAAGAGATTTGACCATCAGTGCTTCAAATTTCAAAAGCTTCAATCAAAGGGTTTTGAGTGACCTTTAGAAAAATCTAATAGCCTCATTTATACATTTTTATGGTTTATTATGAATCAAATTGGACAATATTGTCAAATTATATCAATTATATAATTTATGGTTTTTCTGTGAATCAAACTGGGGAAAACCCGGTAATTGAACTGTGATTTTTATTTTTATCATGCATAAAATTGGACAAAAAAGAGAAAAAACAACAGCTGTAAATCAATTATAAAATATATATATATATATATAATTTTTTATTGTGTATCAAATTGATTGCTTTTTTTTATTGTGCATAAAATTGGACAAAAAAGAGAAAAAACAACAAATGTAAATCAATTATAAACACAATAATAATAATAAAAAATATATATATATAAATAAATATATATATATTTTTTTTTTTCATTTTTTTTCATTTTTTTATTTTGTATCAAATTGGACAAAAAAAACTGTACATCATTTGAATGAATGATTAAATAAATAAACAAATAAATAAATAAATTTATAAATAAATAAAT